TATAATATGGTATACCGACTGCATGTTTTACTAACCTTGGTAATTTGGGGCCTTTTCAATTTCATTGGCATTTCACTCTCATTTTGGGCGCGTGCTTTTGTGGAAGAAAACAATTAGGCATTGCAATATAATAGGAGCAGGATTATGACCGATTCAATAATTAGGTATTGCAATAGGTGCAGGATTATGACCTATTCAGTAAATCGCGCGTTTTCAAGAACCAATAGGAAGCCTTGAGATAATAGGGTGGAACGGGAAGCCCTATTTTGCATATCTAGCTCTACAAATACTGTGCTTAACTTCAACTTCGCTAGTCACTTCTATTCACAGACTAAAGTCGTAAACATGCCTCCAAAAACTTCAGGAAAAGCTGCTAAAAAAGCCGGTAAGGCTAAAGCCGTTAGAACTGGCGACAAGAAGAGAAAACGTAAGCGCAAGGAGAGCTACAGCATCTACATCTACAAGGTGTTGAAGCAAGTTCATCCGGACACTGGTATCTCAAGCAGAGCCATGGGAATCATGAACAGCTTCGTCAACGATATCTTCGAACGTATTGCCGGTGAAGCATCTCGTCTTGCTCATTACAACAAGAAATCCACCATCACCAGCAGGGAAGTCCAAACCGCTGTTCGTCTCTTGCTGCCCGGTGAATTGGCCAAGCACGCCGTCTCTGAAGGCACCAAGGCTGTCACCAAGTACACCAGCTCTAAGTAAACTACATTACTCTGCTGTCTCAAACCAAACGGCTCTTTTCAGAGCCACCGAACAGTTCAAAAGAGACTTGTGTGCAATACCAATGCAATGTTTGCTCTTTGCTATTTCAAAATATTTTGAACATACCAACGAAATACATTAGAAATTTGCTACGTGCATATAATAGTTAATGGAATGGGTGATTTATTTTTTTATTGCTTTGTATTTTTGACCATTTTCCCCCTCCGAATGTACTGATAATTCAATTCAATTTATTCACAAAAACCTCCAAAGGGAGAAGTAAAACAGGAATACAAACAAAACTGAGTTAAAACCACATTGAAAATAAAAGAATGAAATAAATACTATTTAACAATATCTTTAAAAGAGCAGTGTTGCAGTAAAATAATTCACATAACATCATAATTAAAAGCTCTTCAACAGGCCCTTAAAGCATCGCTCTGTAAAATATATGTTATGCTATCGCAAATACCATGTTTAAGGGCACATGAAAACATTTATTAGATTATCGTGAGTGATAATCTCTCAATAATAATTATCGTGAGTGATAATCTAATAAATTATTTGCCCTGCATTCTAAGAATGATTTTAACTGGTAGTTAAAATCACGACGATGCTTATCATTAATCAAATATGTGAATAAAGAGTTGCCCGAATGCTTCCATAGTGTGTGAATTCTTTGTATATACAAAACAAACTTAAATTAGAATAATAAATATTATAATTAGAATAATTAATCTAAAATAATTGGATAATTTATACGGTTTCAATTTTCAAAATAGCATTGGCAATTGTTGGGTAATGGTAGAGATATATGGTACCCTGAAATAAGAAGATTGTGTTTTAGGAGGATCCAAAAGATCATGTACTTTTATATTAGTGAACTTGGATATTTTTTTTTTTTGTAAAAGTAAATATTTACACTCTTTATTCATTATTAAACCGTTATAACTGACTTATGAAACTACTGAAAGTAATCATGGTACGTAAAAGTTCAAGTTTGTAGGTGTGTGATGTAAATATAGCTATGGGAAGACGTTAGCCCTCCAGTATGTGTTTTTATTGTAGGTATGAGTTCACCTTTTTTATAAGAACACTGAGGCTGAAATAGCTTAAAAATAAGAAAAAATTAAAAACAACTTGAGGCTAAGGTAAATGTAAATTGAGGTTATTTTATTAAAAAGACTAGAAAAAACGAACACAAATCTTATTTGTACCTTATCTGCAGATAGGTATCGTGCTTGTTTGACGATGATTGTTAAACCGCCGAATGGCAATCAATCAACAGACTACACCCAGTTGTTTAGAAAACTCCCACCAAAAGTTTTTAAAACATGAAAGTGCAGTTTAAAGAAAGGACACAATAGAATGATAGGCGGCATTTTTCTTTGATTTTCAAAACTCCCATTAAACAACACATAAGCTCAAGGTTAGTGATTGACGCAATACTCGGTAATTCATATTACGTCCGTATACACACTTTATAGGTTTAGCGAATTCAAACTGGAGTACACTTCGAAACGAACTTCGAATAATAATAATCAGTATGTCTGGACGTGGTAAAGGAGGAAAAGGACTCGGGAAAGGAGGCGCTAAGCGTCATCGTAAAGTTTTGCGTGATAACATCCAGGGTATCACCAAACCAGCTATCCGTCGTCTAGCTCGTCGTGGTGGCGTGAAGCGTATCTCTGGTCTCATCTACGAAGAGACCCGTGGTGTATTGAAAGTATTTCTAGAGAATGTCATCCGTGATGCTGTCACATACACCGAGCATGCCAAGAGAAAGACCGTCACTGCCATGGATGTCGTCTACGCCTTGAAGAGACAAGGCCGAACCCTGTACGGATTCGGTGGATAAGCTACTCATCTTCCCTCAAACCAAACGGCTCTTTTCAGAGCCACCATTTGAACAAGAGAGAATGATTGCTTGCCTAGTTGTATTTCAGTTTTTTTGTATTTAATGCGTTTTCTAGTCACATCCAATATGATTATATTACAACAATAATTAGACAACAGTGTATACATTTTTAAAAAAGCACGTGCTTTGTGATGCCCGACTACGTAACATTGTATGTACTTGAATTATTAATTCAAAGAACTTGAATTTGAAGATGGTGAGCGGTTACTGTTCTGTCATAGCTACAGTATTTAAACATTCATACGTTACGTTTATTAATGTCAAATTAAATAATACACACTTTTATGAACCTCAGTTCATATCTAATGATGCACATAATTGACTAATGACTTGTTACGTTGTAATTAGGGAGCAGTTGTAGGCCTAATATAGTCCAACGGTCCACTGATTAATCTCAGATATACATACATAAGCATTGACCTATTATTAATAGGTCCATGCTCCAAGTACCTGTATCGAAATGCACGCCACCGTGTCGGGATTCAATATTTCGACACTAATTATGTCATCATCAAGAATCGATACTTGGAGTATGTATTATACCAGGGAACAGTTAATTACAATATAACTGTTCCCTGATTATACTATCTTGTAATATAGTATTACTGTACTTCGCTATACTAATTTTAAGTATTTGTAAGTATATTATAAATATAGGCTACTATTTTGTCCAATTCCAAGATGTAAATGTGTTCCTTTTGTTAAACTCAATCCATTTTTTGTAAAACAAATTCAATAATATAGCCTACACATTTCGTGATGACCAATTTTGAATACCTGTATAATAGAACCGTGGTACAGTACTTTAATTTGTGAAATAGGCCTATTTTAAGTAAGAATATTACCTATTAACATCCAAACTTTCTTTAATGCTCAAATTCAATGATACACATAATTTCGTGATACCCAAATAATATACAACCGCAATTCCAACCAAGTACTATCTTCAGGTTTTTTAGACTACCTTTTTAGTTTTGTAAGTATATATTATAAAAATAGGATACTGATGTGTCCTATTCCAACATTCAAATGTGTTCCTTTTATTAAATTTTGTGCTATACAAATTCAGTAATACACATAATTTCGTGATAGCAATTTTGAATACCTGTATAATAGTCAGAATTGTATTGTAAATTAATTAAATTTATGAAATATTTTAAGTAAGAATACTACCTATTAACATGCAAATGTTCTTTAATTTTAATTTAAACGATACACATAATTTTGTGATACCCAAATAATATAATTAATATAACCCAAATAATATAACCGAAATTCTAAGTTCTACTGTATTTGAAATACTACTTGGAAAGATTTTGAAAATAGATTATCAAAATCAAACGAACAGAACGTTCTCCTGATCATCATGTCATGATACGATACACAGCCTTTTTAAAACGGACGCGCCATACTTTACGGACGTGTTATGAGGCACTCGCTTGACCAATCACGTTGGGTTGTTCTAAAACCGGCTTACTATATAAGCACATGACATTGAGTAAATTAGACATCGATTTCAAATTGAAAATAAAAATGGCTCGTACTAAGCAAACTGCCCGTAAATCTACCGGAGGAAAAGCTCCCCGAAAACAACTTGCCACCAAGGCAGCACGTAAAAGTGCCCCAGCCACCGGTGGTGTCAAGAAGCCTCATCGTTACAGGCCCGGAACCGTTGCTCTAAGAGAGATCCGTCGATACCAGAAGAGCACCGAGCTTCTCATCCGCAAGCTCCCATTCCAACGTTTAGTCCGAGAAATCGCCCAAGATTTCAAAACCGATCTCCGATTCCAGAGTTCTGCCGTCATGGCTCTTCAAGAGGCTAGCGAAGCTTACTTGGTCGGTCTTTTCGAAGATACCAACTTGTGCGCTATCCACGCCAAACGTGTAACCATTATGCCAAAGGACATCC